GCTGGAAACACACTCCATAAGAGCATTTGAAAACTGTTCAGGGATGTTACTCTTCTAATTTCTAAGCCATAGATATCCTTGAAACTACATTCCCTTGTGTTGTGATACATATCTGAAATGTTTGGGATATGAACCCCCCAAGTACCACAAGAGGACATGGACATTTGACATTCTTTCTCACACTCCCAGAGCCCCAGGGTTCAGGCTGTTTGTGCAGAGGACATTTGGGTGATTGTACAAGTCCTAGGCATTTGGTCCCACTTGGCCATTCTCCAGCTCCTTGGGAAGGAAATGAGGGTAGTTGTTCTTTTGGAGTGAATTTTATTTTTTTTCTGTCTTTGCAAAATAATTCAGTCAGTTTCTACTGAAGCACCTGTTAAGGATGCCAGGGCATTAGCAACATCATCTAAATTAAAATATTCCCATTCCTTGTAGCTTACCTGGAAAAGCATTGTTCAAGGGAGATGATCATGAGCAGACTGGGTTTACTAAAGTAAATTCTTAATAATTTGCATGTCAGAAAGGCCCAGCCTATTTTTAGCTAACTATAGAACATAACTCAACTTCAACACATCAAATCCACTTCCATGCCTTCTTTAGCACTAAATCAAAAAGATGAGTAGGATGGCATACCAATGATTCCTCAGAGCGCTTACTGTATCAGTCATTTTCATGAAATAATGCTGGTATTTTCTCCTCATTTGTACAGTAAAGAATCTGGTTTCCCCTCTAGAGTAGGATAAGATCAAGGAGGTGATTCTTGCTGACTTGGGCCCATGAGACAAGATCACATTTCTTCACGTGCATACTAGTAGGAGCAAATGTCCCAAAGTGGAGCCTCCAGGACAGCTCCTCTGAATAATCCAGGTGTTCCAACTGCCTGCAAGTCGGTCAGGCAGCTCTAACAGGCAGATCTCAGAGCTGTAACATTTTATATTAGCTCCAATCACTCCATAATGAATAAAGTCTAGTGGAGATGGAATTCCACATAATCTTACATCAAGCCAACTTATGTTGAGGAATAAATTGAAACCCAGTTTTCACACAAACTTCTGACAATGAGTAAAATTTGCCACTTTGTGAAAATACATTGTAGCTCTCTACTTCTTTTCAAAATGCATGTGGGAGCATGTATCTGACCTCTGCTCTGTGACAGGTCCTATTCCCATGACATAGAAGCCTTAACATCAGTTGGCAACAGCTCATTCTGTGATATTGTATTGGTCAGCCCATATTCATTGAATAGAGTTGGATCTGTTCATAATGTTAGTCCTTAAAGAATCTTTGATGAGAGGGTCTATACAATCTTAAAATATCTCTTCAGTTAGAATTGGCTGTCTTCAATGATAGTCTTTCTCTCTATCTCCTTCATCCTCATTTGACACAAGAAACTGTACATATGGTCTTGTGTGGTTGCATTGTCTCTTCCTTGTAGCTTTGGAAAAATGTTGTTTCTTATTTTGCTTGGAGACAAGAGGAAAAGCATTGGAGAGTAAGAAATGGTACCCCAATAGAATTTCATCCAAAAGTGACTGAGGCATGAACACACACACACAAACACATACACACACATACACACAAAAAACCACACACATAGGTTTTTTTTAAAGGGGATAAGAATGGCTCCCTGTAGAAGTGCTTTAAATATAGACTTATTTTAATAAGTTGAATGAAGACTCCTTCCTGATCTATCCTCCCCTTCATCTTGCCAAGCCAAAGACTACTTTGGTTGTTTTAATGGGTCTACAAAAGTATGGCAATGCTTACTATGAAGTAGCTTTGCCAAAAAGCTGCCTAAAGTGACCTAGTAATTCACAAGAAAGCTGGAACCACACTGAACTTTCTCCCAGGGTCAGAGCCAATGGAACCCTGGCCAGTCTGCTTCCTTGCAGCCTCTTTTAATTTCCTGATAAATTGTTATGCCCTGTCTCAGTGTCTAGCTGTGAAAGTTTAATTTTTTTTCTCACAGGAGATATGACTAAGATTTTTTTTAGTTAAAGCTATGAGTGTGTGTGTGTGTGTGTGTGTGTGTGTGTGTGTGTGTATGAATGTGTGCGCATATGCCCAATACCAATAACTAAGTGGAGACACTTGTATATGATTCAAAAATAAGGAATCTTGGCCTATATTGAGAAAAAGATCTTGTTATCAGTGGTGTTCTAAAGAGTCAGTTTTTATCAATGATTGGGGCCATTTCTCCCTTATTATTTTTAGTTTTCCAAAGTAGCAATGATTGCCATCAATATTGAACCTTCTTCAACATCTTTCTTACCCCAAGATTCTGTAAGAAAGTATAAACTCCATCTCATGGTTTTATGACAAAAGCAAAACAGTGACAACCAAAAATCTAGCAAAAGCAAGCCTGACTTAAAAGACCATAGTACCAGCAAGAGTCAACCCACTTCCTCTAGTCCGTTCTAGATATCCACCCTCAGTAAAACTGTCCAACTGGGCAGGAGGCCCTCATCTGTTTGCTACCAAAAATGAAGTAATACAGAATCCTTGTCAAAGAAAGTACTGGATAACATTTTCCCACTGCTGGAGCTTAAACCTTCTTGTTATTTATTTTAAAATACAAGCTGTCTGTTCCAGTTTTATTCCAAATATATTTAGTTATCCAAGTAATCTGAGGACAGATTAGAGGGTAAACACTCAAAAAATAAAAACATAGCATGATTATTCCCAAGTTGTTTTGGCAATTGGGTCTAGCCTCATGTATTATTACCAAATACAGATACTGACTGCCTTCACAGAAATAAAATATTTTTGTAATTAACTTTCATACATTAAATCTAAACAGTGCTTCCAAAGTTCTGGAAAATATTTTATATTTCCTGAAATAAAAACATCCCTTTCAACAATCCCATCTTTCTTTGGATAAACTTAGTACAGTCCTTGTCAGAATGTTCATGGATAACAAATCAATGAAGCCAAATTAGATATACTTTTGAGCCAGTTAACTGACTTTTTCCTTAGAAGTAGGAAGTCCTATTTCTGTTCTCTTTGGAAGCACAAAATAGGTTTCTGAAGTAGCAGAACCTCATTTCCCTTCGCAGATATAACAAGCAATTATGCATAGGTTGAGGCTTGGCATGTGATAAAGCACAACTGCATCTTAATAAAAGACAAATCAGAGGGTAAGGATGATTGAGTAATATGGGAAGAAGAATGACTATGAGCCAAGAGAGTGAAGCTTCGGGTTCTCACCAACTCCCAGGGATCTGGGCTAACCATTTACTTTGCAGTACCCAGGCACTGAGATCCTGCTAGGAGTCCTGCCAGCTTATAAATCAGTCTTTCTGGGTTCTCAAAACAGTCTTTACATTCTTGAGAAACAGATCATCAGTCAGGATAGGAGATCTTTCTATCATCGATATACAGTGACCTGGTAAATACAGATCAAATTAAATTACTGACACTGAGTAACTTATTTCCTGAGCAGACTTAAGAGTCTTGATAAACTTTGAAAAGGACTATTTCATGTGAAAGGACTGTTTTTATCCCAAAGATCTGTAACAGTAAAGCCCTCATGAGAACTATACTAGATTTATTCTACTACAGAAAATACAAGATATGATTGAAATGTATGGTGAATGTTTAAATTTTATAGATTTATTATAGTAAAAGACACATTGCCATTAATGTCCCTAAAAATATTCCCCCTTGCTTCAAATGCACTTATCCCATTGTTCTTGCCACTTTCTGAAGCAGTTCTGGACATCTTCTTTTGTGAATGTCTTTAGTTGCACTGCATAGCTGCCATGATTTCCTGAATCCTTTCAAGACATTTAACTTTCATGATTGCTTTGACTTTGTCAAAGAACAGAAGTTGCACAGTGCTAGGTCTGGTGGCAAGGTGGACGGGGACACACCATACTGTTTTTACGAGCCTCTCTTTCTGCCGGATGGCTTTTGGCCACAGCATTTACCATATTTTTTTTTATCATATCACACAAGGACACTCAAGAAAGAAGACTTCCAGGACCACTTCAGAAAATGTCAAGAATAATGAGATTAGTGTGGTGAAGCAAGGGGGAATAGTGTGAGAATTACTAGCAATTTTTTTACTATAATAAATATTTGTAATCTATATAGTACTGTATATCTGATACTTCACAATGTGCCTTCTCACAGGGAGCCCCAAGATTGATTCAATTTTGGGGAGAAAAAAGGAAAAGGAGGAGAAGGGGGAGGGGGAGGGAAAATAGGTTTTTAAAATTTAACACATGACAAGCACCATTATATTGTTTACATTTTCATTAGTTCCAAAGAAAAACTTATAAGGTGGCTTTCATTCTTCTGTGGATCAGGAAACACACCAACTCATTCAAAGCCATTTGCTTATTCAGCAAATATTTACTATGCACTAGGAACTGTTTTAACTGCTAGAGAAACAATTGTGGATAAGGAAATCTCCACCTTTGTGGAGATTACATTTTAGTTAAATACTCTTGAATACTTCTTTGGTTATGACTCCTGATAAGAAATAAATATTAAACTATCACATAATGTGCATATCATATAAATATGCACAGATACATTTGAAACAAATTTTTACACACAGAAGTGAGCCTATCTTTACTGCATGCAATGCATTCTCTGATATTCTGTTCTATTTTATTTGTCCTCTTTTAAAGTTGGTCATAATCAATTGAGTTGAGTCTGTGATCTAATAATGAGTCATAATTCACAGTTTGGAAACACTGTCCTACCTGCCTTGAATACAATGGGACTAACATTGATATTATTCACTGTTACCTCTAAGCCAGGGAGTCTGCTATGTCTTTGCCAGTGTACAGTTAAAAAGGAAGGTGAAAGTGGCAGAAGAGCTGTCTTTTTGCAGCTTGGAGTGGTTTCTTAGAGATCAGCTAACCTCCGTTTAGATCTCCCAAGGTATCCAAACTTCACCCCTTCTTTATAATATGCCTTTTGTTTGCTCCTAGTGATAATGATTTTTTAAAAAATCTTTTCCCCTCTAATCCTCTGTTCTCCTCATATAGGCTGACAACAGAGTATCCAGGCCATTATGGGGAGGAAATAGACATGATTTCCTACAACTATGATTACTATATCCGAGGAGCCACAACCACTTTCTCTGCTGTGGAAAGGTGAGAAAAATGACCATTTCTCATGGGCTGGGAGTTAGAGGAAGAGGGGCCTAGCTCCATGCAAGGACTATGTTTGCAGGAATTTTGGCCTAGGATTTTTTCCTATTTTAGATTCTTATTCAAGGATTAACTAAGGGTTTGGCTATTCATCAGGAAGCAATGAGCAATGAGTTGTCCTCCGGAACTCAGCTCATCATGATGCAGAGAAGATGGATTCCAGCTTGCCCCAGAGAGGAGTCCTAAACTTGTATGTTCCAAGTTCTTCCCCTCACTAGATTCAGAGAATACTTTTGTCACTAGACATGAAAGAGGAAGACAAAAACGATTAGAGAAGTGTCCACCACCAACCAGGACCATTTCCAATCCTGGACCTCTATCTGGCCCCCACTTTAGGTGGTAGGAAAGGAGAGAAAAGGGGAAGAGATGAGCAAGAAGGAACACGCGGAACTTACTGTCTCTGTCTGTTTTGGTGGCTCTTACACAAAACCTTAGGCTGGGACGTTTATAAACACTATAAATTTAACTCTCTCTTAAAAAAGCAGTATGAATGCCTGGCCATGAAACCTTGTTTATCTTTGCCTTTTAGTATATAGATACCTAAGAACCGGGTGCAGCAATGAAATTCATTTGGTAAACACACATGCCAGCAGTTTGCTGAACATCTAAAACAAACTATGTCCTCTGTTGACATTTGCAGGAGCAAATGCCAATAAATAGCCAATCACCCAATCCCTGGAAAACCTGTTCTGGGGCCTCTGTAAACGACTGTTCTAAAACAAACAATCTGTAGCAGCAGTGGGAGCAATGAAGCCTCCTCAGCCTGTGGGGGCGGAGGGCACCAGCCCTCCAGAACTGCCAGTGGTCAGCCCCACTGCCATTCAGAAGCTGTGCTGAGGCCTTTGCCTGCTTGGTGCCCAGGTGAAACTGAATTGGAAAGAGCGTGGAAGATTGAAAAGGGAGAGAGGTAATTCTGAGTTTAAATTAAAGGACCCCACTGTACTTTGAAAAGATTTGCATGATTAAATAAAGAAAAATTCTTTATTTTTATCCATTAGTAGCACTGTGTAAAGGGCATGAGAGCCATATCCCATGGCGTTCTGGGCACCATGTTAGGGAAACAGAGCAATCTCCCAAATCGAAGACCCAGATCTGAGTATAAGAGACTTGGACTCTGCCCCTATCACCAATTACTTGCGTCCCCTTAGAGCAGGTCACATATTTGTCCGCATCTGCTTCTTCATGGAAACAATGGATCACTGTGAAAACTACTGAGAAAACATGTTGAGCGTTTAGTACCATGCTGGATATATTGAAGTGCATATTACATAATAGTTACAATTGTGATTCTCATTGTTCAGTGCTACTAAGCCACAGGAGTGCCAGGCCTAATAGATCTTATTAAATGGCTGAGTGAAAAACATGGCTTTGTCCCTACCAAAGAACATTCTTTGACACATACCCAGACCAGGATTTCCAAAACTGGGCAATCCTCTGTTCCCTAAGACCCATCTCCACCACTTCAGCAAATAAGCATTTCTGATAGGCCAGAATGGCTGGCATTCTCTTTTTCACTTTAAAAAGTTCTAGGGTTGCTTTCCTTTCCTTTCTTTTCTCTGTGGTGGTGCTTTCTGAAAGGAAACCTATATCTCTCTGGCCTGGAGCCTAGCCCAGGTGAGCACTCCTTGAGAGAAAGAATCAATGAGAGGGTAGACTGATGACCTTTTAAGAGGCTTCACAGTGGAGTGGATTTGATGTTAAGTAAATGCTTTTGCTCCAAGCTGTTAGCCTAGAGCTCCTCGAGGTACTGGGGGGAACAACATAGGGAGCAATCACCAGCAACCCCCAGGAGCCTCTCCATGGTAAGTAACCCAGCTGGTCCCCTTCAGGGGAAAGACCTGTTGGTTCATTGGAGACTTCACAGAGAAAGCTTCTAAGAGCAAAACTGAGGTTCGGTATCCCTTCATTTCTGAGATCCTGCAAACTTCCTTCCTCACTTCTCCCCCAGCTGTGCTTTATCCTAGAGCACGTGACTATTCTCACTGACATTAATTTCTTGACTCTCCCAACAGGGATCGCCAGTGGAAGTTCATAATGTGCCGGATGACTGATTACGACTGTGAATTTGCAAGTGTTTAGATTTGCCACCTACTAAAGCTGGGTAAAGGGAAAGGGGCCAGGAGCCCTGATGGTGTCGCTTATGTTAACATCGGTTGGAACTCCTGTAGCTGTCTCTACTGCTCTCCTTTTTTCTCTCTGAGCTGGGAGCTACAGTGCCAGCTTCCTGGGCCTTCCTGACTAGGGTCACATTTACAATTAAATTGTGCTTCTCACTTTTAACACTCTCCACGGCGACTGTCCTACACGACCGGTGATGGCTTCTGCGCACACCGTGTGTACGTACAGCAAGCACGCTTCCAGCCCACCTCCTAGAGCACCTGCCACAGCCTTGTGACTATCGTCACTGTAAATTTAGCTTCAAGTTCAGCATGGTGAACCTGGATGGAGGGAGGGGCACAGCTTAAGGAAGGGTACAGTGAAGGCTCTGTATACCTAAGTCTGCTCGAATGATAACGAGGGTCCTCATTAAGGCAGCCTTCAGACTTCAGGGGATAGGCATCCACCTTCCCTCACCACAGGAAGCATGTGTGCTGCCAAGTCCAAGTGCGGAGCTCCGTGCCCTAGAAGTAAAGGGACTGGCAGGTGAAAGAGGGAGGCGGAAAGGTTTGAGGGCAGAGCTGAAAGACAGGGTTAGAAGAATCTCCTCAGTTCAAAGACATGTTACTAAACCCAGAGACGAAAATGGCTGTGGGGCCAGTGGTACCTGTGTGAATCAGTCTCCAGGAAGGTCAAAGTAATGAAAAGAGAAATGTCAGAGAATGGGGTTCAGATTGGAACCCTGGGGAGATGAGAGTGGCCAGGTGGCTTTTGAAAATTAAAAGTGGGGTTTGAGTCATCAGAAGAAGGGGGTTGCTGGTGATTGCTCCCTATGTTGTTCCCCCCAGCTAGAAGGTAGATTTTTCCCAGGACTCCTGAGAGCAGACTGGCATGTGGCTGACAGCCATGGGGTACCACTGGAAATTCGCCTGCACTGGTCCAGTGGGAAGGGCTGTCCTGAGGATCTACTTCTGTTGGTGTTAGCTTGGAGATGTCTTCTGCAGAGATGGTCCTAGCTTTCTTCCTCCTCTGTTGCTTCTGTCCCCAGCCATTTGTATTATCCCTTCATTAAAAAACCAAAACAATAAAAACATGAACATTCACTTCTTTGCAAATTTCAAGAGTCACTTTTTGCTTTCTATTGTTCTAAAAGTACAACTTAGCATTGTAATTCGTGCCAAAACACCAGGAATGACAATGACAGGGTATGATTGGGGTCAAGTACTTAAAACAAAGTATCCTTTATTTATATAAGATTATCTGTATCCAGGGGCTGGGGATTTAGCTCAGTGGCACAGCGCCTGCCTGGCAAGCGCAAGGTCGTGAGTTCAATTCCCAGTACCGGAAAAAAAAAAAAAAAAAATTATCTGTATCCTTTCCTTACTTAAGAGTGAACAAAGGATGGAACCACATCTCTCTGCCTTTGAGTCCAGCCGAATTTTTCCCTTAGTACCCTTCAGCTGTCCATACTCCAATAGGTGACATGCAATTGTAACCACAGGAAGTACCTATTTCCTCTACCCACACAGTTTGCCTTTCCTCTTCTGATCTCTGTTGCCCTTCCCTCACCCTCTCTCCCAGGGAGCCCAAGAAAAAAGCCAGCTGAACAGAACCTCAGGGATGCACTTTGCTATACCCTTAGATGGTCAGGATGGTGAACGTCAGCCCGTGCTGACATTTCCCACTGTCAGATCCCAGCATCATGATGCCAAGGTGCAGCTGAGGGTGTCCTTCTTTGTCTTCACTCTGAAACACTTTTTCCTCTTATGGTTTTCATTTCTTCCATTTCACTGTCTCTGCTTTTCTGGCAACTTCAGTTTACAATAAGAAGCTTCCTGGTGTTATTTTTCATAAAGGAAGCCATTAATATTTTAGCAGTTGCAGCACTGGATCAGGATGACAACTCAGAAGTGCCTCAGTTGGGTGTTGGGAGAGTGGGTGGGAGAGAGATGAACAGGGCCGATTGGCTGGCCTGGTAGCCATGATGGAAACAAAAGACTGGGGTTTTCATGGAGGATGGTACGGAGAGGCCATGCTTAGAGGAGATGTCAGGTGTCTGCCAAGAACACAAGTCAAGAAATAAAGTGGCAAGGCAACCCAATAAGAGGAGCCTTTTCCAGATGGAGTAAATGAAGTTTCTACAAGGAGAAAAACTATTCTTTGTACACAAGCCAAGGACAATGACAAGAAAGACATTACCAACTTGGCTTGAATCTGAACAATTTATACTGTATATTATATGTCAAAGAGCAAGAACTACATATCAGAGTCAAGACTAAATTCCAAATGTGACTGCATGTTCTTCCTCTGTTGTTATTTGCCCAATCTTTCTATTTGTTTTGGTTACAGTCTTGGATAAGTTACCTCTCTTTCCTAGCCATTTCATAGAGGGTGGTAAAGGGAGAGGATGAGAAAGTTATATTTCAGGCAATGGAAACAATATGATGACGGGTGTAAAGTAAGGTATGGCATTAAGGAAGTTTTCTCAGGAGGCAGACCTCTCCAAACGCATCTGAAAAGCCCAGTGTGGAGCTATATAGCCCTAAGGAGATCCATAAGAGATACCATTATTTTTACATGTTAATCATATCATATCATATTTATCTGGAGATCAGCCATAATCTAAGGGCTCTTGACCCTAGAAAACTAAAGAGAGGGAATTTATTACACACATACACACATGCACATGCATACACACACACACACCCTGGCTTGGGGACATCCTTCCTTTTTGGCTTCTCATCCACACATATGCCCTTTGTGCTCCACTTCTTGGATAAAGCCATGAATCAATACATTTTTGAGTTCCCTCAAAAGAACACAGTCTTACAAAAGCATGGGTGAATACACAAACTAAAAAAAAAAAGGACAAAATAAAATACAAAGAAACCTTCAAATTCTAGACATTTCCATCTTCCAAGTATTTCTTACTCACCCTGAAACGGGCTTTTCCTCTCCAGCTGCCCCCTATCTAGCTCCAAGCCTGCTTGAGCCTTTCCCCTCCAGTGGATCAGAGAACATGTTGCTCACTGTGGCCTCCACACCCAACTCCTGTGCTTCTCACAGTGGCCAGGAGAACAGAGCCATCTGGTAAGCAGCATCCACTCTCCAAACAGAGTCTCAATCAGTTGGAATTAAAACACAGTTTTTGCTCTATTTCATTAAACCACATTGTTTGGGAGTGGCTCCCAATCCTGGCTGCCTTTCCAGAATCCCCAGTCAGCGAGGTTGGGTAAGTGGAATCTTACAGAAGAGGACTGGCCCGCATGGGTGGGTCATCCACCTGTTGTTAACTTGCTATTCTCTTATATGCAATTTATTCCTTTGTAAGCCAAGGATAGGCAAACACACTTCCCTCAAAATTCAGTGGAAGGAATAAAATAATGCACTCCTGCACAGCTCAGATTTTCTAGGAGGCTACAAATTTTCACAGGATGGAACAGCCCTAAAAGCTGAAAATCAACCAAAACTGCCTGTTAGTCTTAAAGTGTATTTTTGGCAGCCACTGGGCCTAGCTAAGTGCTTGAACCTACCCTTCCTGACTCTCCTCACCTGATGAAGGCCTGCATCCCAGGAGGAATCCACCTACCAATGTGAATGAATGTATGTTTCAGAGACAAATGCTGAACAGACATATTGCAAAATGCAAATGATGATGTTTTCTGGATCATAGCATAACTGTGTATTTATTTCTTTGCCCTTCTTTATACATGCTGCCTTCCTCAACTTATAAAAAAATTACCATTGTGTTTATAGTCAATCAAAAAAGAGAAGTAATTACAATCTTATGGAACAAAAGCATTCACTGGCTGAGCAGTTCAGCCCTAAGATGGTGTTCCCACTGAAAGGTGACCATATGGTTACTTCGTGGACAGAATGAGATTATAAAACCAGATCTTTCATCTAACTTGCCATCTAGTGGGTTGTAATTTAATATGCAGAATTACCTGCTCTTTTCAACGTCTCTCACCATCTCCAGAGACAGTGGAACAGATGTTCAGTCTGTCATATGGCTAATGAGAAACTAACATTTAAGACAAGAGCTGGAAATCTCCCTCCCCTCCCCTCATCCAAGTCCTATTTTGGGGCTGAGCCGAGTCAGCCTCTTCAGGACACTTTCCCACAGGTCCCCATGTGGAGTCCTTCCTGGCCTCAACATTCTGTCCTCCATCTCACTTCTCTGAGAGCAGGAGCCCTACCTCTCTGGTTTACTAGTAGATGTCTGATGCCTAGCAAAAGTGCTTTAAGCATAGTGGGCCCCGAAGATATGTGCTATAAAACTCATCTAGATTTTTGGTTGCATCTCAGATATTATTAAGACCTACCAGAACTCTAAGCAATCAGTAACTGAAATATGTGTGAAAACACTTCAAAAGTTATGAGGTTCTACTAAGAGATAAGATATTATGACATTGCTGTAGTTTTGAAAAGGACTAATTCAACTTCTACTCTCTTTCCCTAACATCATTAGGTAAGTGTCAATTTCATCCTTTACAGAGCTACTCACTAATGACAGGTAAGTTGGAAAGCACACTAGTCAGTCCACATTTGTCGCTCTTTCAGAAGGTGAGTGTCACCATTGGAAACCAAATAACAATTTTGGTGTTTTTATGAACTGCGTTGAAATGATCGCCTGAGCAACAGGCATAGTACCAAACACTTGGTGGAAATGAGAAAACAACCTCATTGACTAAACCTTGAATAGACTGGGAACAGTCTGGTCACAGGGACAGAGACATAGAACAGGTGACATACAATGAAAAGACTTCAAAAATTTAACTGAGGGGGAAATAAAAACCATACAATACAGCAAAGTATAGCAGGAGCCCAGAGCAAGAAACCAGGGAATCTGGAGAAGATTGTGTGTGTGTGTGTGTGTGTGTGTGTGTGTGTGAGAGAGAGAGAGAGAGAGAGAGAGAGAGAGAGAGAGAGAGAGATTGAGAATTGAGTCCAGGGCCTCTTACTTTGAGATAGGGTCTCAAGGTAACTAAGTTGCCCAGGCTGGGCTTGAACTTGTGATTCTTCTGCCTCAGCTTCCCAGAGTGCTGAGATTAGAGGTTTGTGCCACTGTATCCAGCCTGGAGTGGAGCTGGTATCCAGCTGGTCCTGAAAAGTTTCAGAGTACAACAGTCTCTGTACATAGAGAGGAATGGGAAGGATTTCTCCATCTAGAAAACTCACTAGAGTTATTGATCTCAGTCACCATTATTACATGAATTCTATGTGCCCGACACTATTCAAGATGCATTGTATACACTGATTTTCTTTAACCCTACTAACAGTCTCAAGGGTAAATTTTTCCCTCTACTTCACGCAGCAATAAATAAATAAATAAAGCTCTTGACGGTGAAGCAACTTGGCTAGGTGCCTGGACTGGCTGAAGGTTTTCTGGTTCAAAACCACATGTTTTACCACTACCAGACATTACCTCCACCTCACATTTGTGATGTGATTCATGTACATAACAAGCCCCATCCATGTACAAGAACCACATCAATCAATCTGTTCCTTTTGGTCTCCATGGGTCGCTTGTTGGCAGATTCAGAGATGAGCTCATTACCATTACCCCCATGGAAAGATGTTCTTGGAAGCCAAACAGGCTCAGAGTCACACATGCGACTGCATACCACAAGAGAGCATGTCATGTAGATTAGTTCTGCTCATAGGCTTTGAGAAGTCTGGAACTGAAAACCTCTCACAGTCTGAAACAGCACAGCATGTGTTGGAGTAGGACTTCACAGAAATTCCAAGTGAAAGCAAGCTCTTGGTACTCTCTACGAGAAGGTAAGCTCAAGAAAATCCACAAGGGGTAGAAAAAAATGGGAAAAAACCCCCAGTGGATCTGTAGACTTGGCCCTTCCAAAAATAGCACCATTGCTGGTTCTAAACTGATAATCTCACATGGCTGTACTTATGTACCAGGTATGATCAAAATATATGATGATTTCAATTTTAAAAGTTTATTATAGTAAAACACATTGCCATTAATCTATCTCAAACTACATCCCCCACCCCTACATGTTGAACACACCTATTTCATTATTCTTACCACTTTCTGAGGCAGTTCTGGAAATCCTCTTCTATGGTTAGCTGTAAAAGGTGTGTTCAAAGTTGT